GTCATCTAGTGAAGGCATCTAGTGAAGACTGCTCTTACCCGGGGCTTAACCTGCTCTATTTCTGGCTGGATTTTGTTGCCGTCGTTCTCGTCTGGTTGCTTTCTTGAAGTTGGTTTTGTTCTGACAGTTATGTATGTGGAAAATCCAGCTTCACGCCAATACACAGATGCATTTCGAATGTTGTTGGACATCAGGGCTAAGCTCGAGATAGCTCAGTGGGTAAAGTGCCAGCTTAGGGATCGGAGGTCCGTAGTTCGAACCAACCCCCCGGCATATAGACTGCTCCTGTCTAGGCTTGGGCATCCTGGCAGTATCCTATTTCTCGTGCCTCCTTCCGTTGGCATGACAGCTAGGTACCGAAAAGATGCTACGGCTTAACGATCAAGTTTTTGTGGAAGGAATCGCGTTTCAAAGGATCTGCCCTTAATAAGGGGACGCATCAAGAACTAGTCTTTTGGAAGTCATTAGGACCGCTGCGTTAGGCAATCTCCTGGTCCTTCAGGTATGAAGCGATTCCACTCTAGTAACCTCATGCCGGCAACTACCGCTTTAGCGAAATAACACTCGTTTGCAAACTAATTTGGTTTTGCGAGAGACCCACCTGCTGAATCTCTCGTTTTTGGTATTTCCAAACAACCCGATTTGCTTCACCAGGCCGCCGCATGGTACAGTCGCCACGATGTTCGAGATATCGCGATACATGTACTACTCATTTGGTTTTGCGAGGGACTCACCTGGAACCCACCTAAATCTCTTGTTTGTGATGTTTCCAGACCTACCTGTTGAGCCCCAAGAAGGGCGAAACCGGTCGTGGACTGTCGACGTATTTTCAGCAACCTTATGAGTAGTGCATCACGAACTGTCGCTTTTCTTTCAAACATTCGAATCGAGATCTGTGACTGAAGATTCGGACCACTCTGTCTAGACCTGAGCAACTTAGAACGTCTGCCTTAAAACAATCATACGATACACCGCATCGGGTGCCGCTCACTAACATCCGGAATGCCCTATTTGTTGCATATGGCAGAGTGAGTAAACGAAACTTCGTTGCCAATGACTCTTTCGATCCGTCTCACGAGTACCTTCCCGATTCCATCCGATGATGGCGTTTCGTTCCAGGGCAATTGTGGGTAACAAGAATACAACAGTCCTTACTGTGCGACGTTCACTACTTGCGATTTGGTCAGTTCCCTGTTTGAAATACCAGGTTACCCTATACAAATAAGGGGGTAGTCGCCTGGCCATTTCCGCGTGGTCACGGGACCATTATGCCAACCGAAAGGTTTGAATCAACCAGCAATTTTTGTTTCAAATCTTTTAGGTTGGGGCTAAGGAAGATAGAATAGCACTTGTACTTCTAGTTGCCTGTCCCGGCTGAGACGGCTGCGCCACTCAGTTCAAAATCGAGTAGTTTGCATGGAGCGGTACTGTCGTAAGATGGCGACGTTGATCGCGTCTGTTGACAACGGAAGGAATAGGAGTAACTTAATTCTAAGTTACAATTTTGTGTACACAGTTAACTCCCTGTCACTCTTGGGCTTTTCCCAAGTTCGTGGACACTGGAACGGTACGTGAAATGCTGTTCTTTCTGGCATTGACTTCTGACGCTGATCACTCTAAACCTGTGCCTTGTGGAAATGGGTTTAAGGACGTACTCGGCTTATATGTGGAAAGACTTCTTCTGGGGGGAGCTGACTTGGCTATGTGTTTCGAAGTCCTTTCGTCCCTAAGGGTTTCCACATAAGTGTGGTATGGCCAAAAAGAGAGACGCAAACCATCCACTCGTCCTAGACCATCCAGCTCCCTACCTTTGTATTTTACAGAAATCCTTCGTATACCCAAGATTGCAGTTTTTCGTAGACACCATGATGTATCTCCCACAATAAACGCAAGCACGTACAAGTAATTTCCTCAACTCCTGGACGATTAATTTTCTTGAAGTGAATCAGATGGCTCCGTTTTCTAGTCACTGGGGCTGGTATCCAAGAGCCGTTTTGTACTAGCTGCAAAACTCCAAGAATGGGGTAGCTCAGTATCTGGTTAAGTTTATTCGGCTCAGAGAGTAAAACCGACTATTCTACTTACAGGGGCCACATACACCCCATAGTGCAAACGAAACATAGCAGTGTTCACATGCCGTGTTCACCTCTAGCTCTTCATTGTTTGCGTGTTACGGAGGTTAGTTTGGATAAAAGAACAACAGGATGATCACGGTCAGTTGATACTCAGTCGAGATTTTGTCATATGCGGTCAAACTACATTAGTATACATTGACTTCGTGGTGGTACGGAATTCGACCGCCTGATTCTATTACCATCATTATTGACATCAGTGTCCAACACTGATGCTTCGTTGCCGTACAATTGATAGTTGTACATGGGCTGAGATACTACCAAGGCACCCACACCTAGACACGAGGACGATTAGGGTCCTCAACCAAAGCCTTTGGCTCGAAAGTCTGACCGCAAGGCAACGGTGCTTGGCGGGAAATGCAAATGCATTACCGTTTTTACGGAACAGGGGGCGAGATGGCTCAAGTGGTTAGAGCGCGAATTTACTGACCGGAAGGTCCGTGGTTCGAACCCGACCTCCGCCACTCGACTTCCCCTGTCTAGGCTTGGGCAACCTGACAGTATCCCATCCCTCGTGCTTCCTTCGGGTGGCATGGCAGCTAGGCACCGAAAGGGAGCTACATCTGAACGATTTATTTATTAATTATTTTTTACGGAACAAGCCGCCACACGTGTTCCAACCCCCAACCTGGAGGACCAGACAACTGTACTGGTCAGACCTCTAACCATTGACCAACCCGGTATGAGAAACTCTGTGAGTATCGCGCGGACACCCCTCAGTATAGCTCAATGGGTCGCCGAGATACACAAACCATTACACCACGGTAAGGTCCAGTCTCTTCGCGACAGATTCTATTATTGAGGGTACTGCAGCTTCCTGAATGTTCCACGGAAGACATCGTTTTTTCCAGTCAAACTTGCTTTCCTCTCACATGAGCCAGTTACTGTGAGACCATGCAGCGTCAACTGCGATATGAAATCATTCACCGGTAGCCGAATAGAAGTATGTTTTGCTTCCATCCGGAAGGTTGTGGGATGAAATCCCTTCAACGGTCAGTGAGATACGCACTGGTCATGACTCACAAGTGATGAGACAACTGTGCAGTGCCTGTCAATTTTTCAGCGTAGGTTGACTTCATCTGCAGAATGCTAACCGGGTATGAAACTTCGGACTCTTGACTTCACAGAGCTACTTCATACCCATCAGGGTTTTTTTCGCTTACATACTTCAGACTGCAAACGTGAACTCCAGGCGACAAGGGCTTCATCTTCCGATTAGTCAGTTGTCCTGTGAACAAGCAGCAGGTTCCATCGTCTGATCCACTCTACAGCTGCGATCCACACACACAATGTCCCTCCATGTTAGAAAATGTGTGAACTGTATTTGTGGCAGTTTGCAGAGTATGACGACCGAAGACGTTGCAATCTATGAATTATAGCTGGGAGGAGGGGCGAACAGCTCCGGTGGACAATCAAGAACCCTCTGTATGTCCACGCGAATACTCAGCCGATCCAGGGTCTACAACAGAACAGGTAACATCTTTATTGGCTCGAGTGGGAATATCGCTGGCATCCCCCAACAAATGAAACGATTAAGCGCTGCCAGGGACCGCCATGCTTTGCAGGACGTGTGCGTTATCATTCCCCAAATCTGTCGATCATGACGGCTCTTCTGAAAATGTAGTTTGAGACCTCCGTCAGCTCTACTGTACGTTTAGTTGGTACATTTATCGATATCTCTGTAGTGCACCATCTTGTTAGTTCCTGAATGGCTTGAGCTTTTGTAAAGCACCTCGTGTTTTGAGAGATGGTCCTTCCAGTGAAAATGACGATTTCACCACGCTATAGCACTTCACTAGCTGGATACATTGGTTGCCTGAGAACATCACAAACGAGAGATTCAGCTGGGTTCCAGGTGAGTCTCGAAAAACCAAGTTAGTTTGCAAATGAGCGTATATTCGCCAATTTCGTGCAATTTGGTTTCAAGTAGAACATAAGGTTGACGGAAACCCGGGGACTGCGCCTACCTGATGAGCCCCAAAAAGGGCGAAACCGGTCGTGGGCTGTCGACTAATTTTCAGCAATCTTATGAGTAGTACATTACAAAGATATACATTGGTCTCTTATTCGTGCCAACGATTTTCGAGGGTTGACTCGCGAAGAAGTTCTTTGTGATAAAAACCTCTCGGCGCTATCTGGATGAAATATAGTTATTGTGAAGGAACGTCCGTTTTCACCACGCGCCTAATGTAGTCTGGATAGGCAGGTGGCACTTTAGCGGCCTCGCATTTGGCGTAGTATGGCACATCACAAACGATGAAATATGTAGAACGTCGTCCGAAGAGTGAAGTTACGAAACTCTGTTCCTGTAAGTAAGGGTTGGAGTGTAGTGGTGTGGTCTTGGCAAGTCTCACTTCGGTTCATCCAAATGCTGCCTAAGTCGTCCAGCCATATCACCGCTTGAATTTGCCCTCCGTAAGGGTAATTCCAGAGTCCTTCAGAAACTCTTACGTTGAAGTAGATGGAAACCCCCATGTACAGTCCACTCTCAAACAATGGTCGCCCAGCCGTTCGATATACTTCCTTCTTTCGACTCGGTACGAGTAGATCCTCACGAATACTCAGTTATCTGTCTATCGGACAGAGCTGAATCACCAGGATAGCTATTATCTGCTATCCATCAATTGCTTGTGAAACCAGCATGGAAGAATAGTGCGATGGGACATGGGGCGCCTTCCACATTGATATCTGGAGGTGGCTAACTCCGAACTAATTAGTGGTTTGTTCCCTGGCCGGGTAACCGATCCTTACAATTACACATCACACACATTAACATGGGCAGATTACCACGTCACAAGAAGGTCACAAGAAGGTTCGTACAAACGGTTTGTGTCGACTGGTTGTTGGATCGTAAACGCTGCCTCTGTTGTTAGAAATAGCACACTACGTGATATGTGGATTTATAGAGTGCAGCTGATGTGAATAACCGAATCAGTTACCCCCGCTCTGTACCCCCGCTGTGTACCTATGAACGGTGTGTATAAATTTATACCTGCCTTGGTCATGCATGTGTAAATCCCAAAAAATAATCAGCAATCACTACCAGTTTAACACTACTAGTTTGATCATCTCTCGAAATGGGGTCTCTCTGTAATGCAGAAAACCCTTTTCCACAATCGGGAGACTTAAGCAATGACCCGCTTTTGTTTATTACTTTATTACTTTGCGTATACGTTCTATCCTACTGTGTTGCGACCCACACATTCGAGTTTAAGCACTTGAGCCATTTCTCATGCAGTACATGTAGTGTTTAGAATTGCCGACTGCACTTATCCCTCAGAGGACTATCTACAGTTGTAGTTCGATTTATAGCTTGCGTGTCTATAGTACTTTGTACAAGTAGTGTATTAGGCGGTGTACTTATCGGAAAAAGTTCTCTGTTGGAGGTTACATCCATCTGTCAGTTTATTGCGAGAGACCAATACGCCTTTCAGTTTAATCTACCGCGTATGACAAATAATGGCGAGGTGAATTAGGAACAACCATCACAGGTACGGGAAAACAAAAAAAGATGGAACAATATTGGTGCCCAGTTAGTAATGAAATCTACTCGAACCCTAGACAAGGACTATCCTTTTGCACTTTCAGAGGATGGTTTGTGTGTACGGATGACTGCATCTACTTAAGTCGTTGAAGATTCGAATCTTCACTGCGCACGGTTGACCATGCTTTATTCTCTGCGTTTTCAAACTGGACCTTTGGGTAACTGTGGTTATGCCTTAATTTATAGCTAGTCGGGTACAATGTTTCCCACAAATCGTCGTAGACCGGAATACCCCATATTTTACCGGGACTTGGAACGGCACAGACGATACATTCATGGTCACATTCCAAGTCCCATGCTGTTTGGTATGTCCCCCATCTTGCTGAATCATCTCCACTGAACCAAGTTCAGCAACTTTCGAAAAATTCCAAACAAACGTTAACGGAAGCAGAAATTTTACAGCTGCGTGGCCATGATGGTTTCAGTCTACTGGAGATCGCCGTCGAACGCTTCAATCCAACCGTCGCTACGGTGGCAAAAACTCTGAATGATTTGGAGTTGGACAACGCCCTTTCCATCCTAATTCCTTTTGGTAAGTGGACTTCCAATTGATTCAAAAGACCATATCTCTATGGTATGTCATGTGTGCCCCGACTTATTCCCTAAAACATTTGATACCACTGGTTCTCCTCGTTTGCTTACGTGGATGTAGTCAACGGTCTGTCACTGCTAAGCGAAAGTCGTGTATTGGATGTTATTATGTCCACCCGATAGGTCCCAAGAAGTGTGAAAGACTTCGCGTGAGTGGCATTGATCCTTTAGAATACATATATTGATCTTGTAATTAAGCGGCGTTTATTGCTTCTTCAGTGTGATATGTAGGCTCGTCTGTTTCATAGGCTTGCTATCATCCGGTACTGTGTTCGGATCTCACGGTGCCCCGGTTCACTAGATTCCTCTGAAGTGGATTTACAGCGGCAGCCTCAAAATAGATAGGCTTTTGACGTATTCCTAATGTTTTGATTCGGATAACTCGTTGTCCTCTGTTATCACCCAAAGTTCGATGTAGAGTCGAGATGGCTCAGTGGTTAGAGCTGACCGTAGTTCGAACCCAACCTCCGCATCTCGACTGTTTATATCTAGGTTTCGGCAACGTGGCAGTACCTCAGCCCTCTTACTTACTTCTGGTGACACGACAGCTAGGCATCGGAAGGGTTCTACAACCGAATGAAGATGAGAACAACCCATTAGTTATCGTACACCCATCTCTCCAGATAACGTATACTGTCGCTGTTCCCTTCACGGTTAGGCTTTACCAGATAAACCCAAGTATAGATTCGCTAGATATACAATGTTACTGATAATTAACAGGTTTCAACCTGCCACCACCAACGGACTATCGATTAGGTAAGTCACAGATGAATCATGTTAGGGTCAGCTGTTATACAGAGCGAAATATAGCTTCAGAACCGTGATTCTAGTTGTGCTAACCAGTTTGGAAGCAAACTGGCGAATTGTGAGTGGTCAAATCGCTTACATTAATTATCTATCAAGCCCTGCATGAAGTTTTCTCTTCGTCAGACCTTTGATCTAGGACATAATCAGACATTTTTCTTTGAACCGGGGCTCTTTCCTCATGTGCCTGTAAGATAGTTCTCAATCAAGGGGAAACACGGTTTGTGGCTGGACATCCGGTTACATTGTAGTTTTTGTCCCATGGAATTACCGAGATCCATGTGAGGATCGATACTTGAGTACGATGAAGGACTTAGCTGCCTATTAGTCGTGAATCAGTCTAAACAAACTATAGACTGATGAGCAACAGTAATACGTAACACCCTCATTGATTTCATAAAGAAAACTACTCACAATATTGCTGAAAACTCTTCGACAGCCCACGACCCGTTTCGGCCTTCTGGGGGCTCATCAGGTAGGCACAGTCCCCGAGTTTTCGTCAACCTTATGTTCTACTTGAACCCAAATTGCACTGTTTTCTAGTAATACACTCATTTGCAAATCAATTTGGTTTTCACGAGAGACTCAACTGAATCTCTCGTTTATGGTATTCTACAACTGACTGTGACGCACACAGGCCGCCTCGTGATTCAGTTGGCACGATATTTGAGATATTGTAGTATATTTTTCATAAAGATCGTGGGCTGTCAAAGAGTTTTCAGCAACCTTGTGAATAGTTTCCTTCATGAAAAATATACTGCGATATCTCGAATATCATGCCGACTGAATCATGAGGCGGCCACTGTGCAGCACATTCAGTTGTAGAATATTATAAGCGAGAGATTCGGTTAAGTCTCTCGTGAAAACCAAATTGATTTGCAAATGAGTGTATTCCTCGACCTTATTGATTCCTCTGAATTTATTGGTTGTCAAATGCTACCTTGTTGGGACTGCTGCATTGTTCTTTATGCCACATTCGCCGCAGGAACTCGCATTCTGCGTATGATTTCTACTGCACAACTCACACTAGCATCCATACACATATTCACTCTCTCTTGCAGTTTCCAGCTCCACTGAACGAGAAGCATTCAGGCGAGACATACAAGCGAGACGAATGCGGGCGTCAGAAGTCATTTTGAATCAGGATATGAACCGGAAATTGCCCGGGATACAAAATCCTTCATCATATGGTTAGTCGGATATCTGTTAATCATGCCTTTGCAATCTGACGCCTGTCTAAACGACACCTCCATCTTATGTGTCTCATAGTATACAAGGAAATTTTTTCTTGTTTATTTTGTTGAATTGACTGGCTTATCCTCCACTGTGGCGTCTAGAGTACACGAAAACCAGAGGATTTTTCTCTTGCGGTTTCCATAAAATTTGACATTCTTCAGGATTACCCTTTTTCTGTTGTTACTCTGGACATTCCGTTCGAACCATGTTGTTATCAGCAGAGTATTATCTCTGCATATAGGAGAGATGTTGGGTGCTGGACAGCAAGCATCATATCTCGTGGAGCAGTTTATCATACGTTTGTTTTTTTATGTCTTCGTGCATGTGAATGAATATCGGTGCCCCCAAATCCTTAAATTTTGGTTACGATTAAGTCAACGATGACGACATTTGCTATCAAGGTTTTCAGCTTCGATTCACCGATTCACTGAGAACACGTTTGGCCGGACTCTTCAGGTTGCGTTTCTCAAGGGAGACGCATGTGCTCGTAAGCCTGGGATTGATTGATCGTCAGGAACTTCGGCGAAGTCTGGCAATCCAAGGCGTCCCCACCAAATTCATGTCCTTTATGGAGGTACTCTATATGAACTCCTGTGGACGACAAGCTTTTGCGCGAGTTCCTCACGTCCAGTAGTGTAAGACAAGGCTATCCTTTCTTGTCTTTCCTCTTTAAGTTTGTCATTGATGTGCTGCTTGAAATTTCTCTGCCTGTCTCTGATACCTCGTGGGGCAAAATGTTCTCGAGAGGCTCCCTCACTAACATTGAGTGTTCGGACGATTTTGCTCTCTTGTTCAGATACTTCAAAAATGCAAGCCACTTTTAAAAAAACCTAAATAATTCTGTCATACCGTCTGGCATGCGCTTCACACCTTCGAGGTGTAAGGTGCTGCCATCAGACTGGATAGGATGAAACCCAAACCGCATGCTTGCAGACCAGCCGGTTGACTTGATGGAGAAATTTGTTTATCTGGGCAGGCGAATAAGTTCTGGCGGACTGGCTGGAGAGGAGATTACTTCTTGAGTAGGATGGGCCAAGGCAGCCTCTACCAACCTCCGACACCTATGGCGCCGACGTGACGTCAGTCCGTCTGTCAATGATACAGTGCGGTGCGATCCATGCTGCTTTATAGGTCAGAGACGTGGCCTCTACGTGCAGAGGAAGTATAACAGATGTCACTGCTTGACCATTGATGTCTCGGGAGCATTGATTGGGCCTGGTGGGAACGTCGGACTAGTAATACTGAGGTAAGCCAGATGGTCCACATGTAGTATAAAGTCATTCTTCTGCAGTGATTCGTCCCTGCCAGCTCACGTGACAAACGTGCAAGTATAGAACCATTCCCTTGACCGTTTTTCAAGGTCATCAGGGTGTCTCGCTTTTGCAGACCGTTGCGTGTTGTAGGCTGGACAGAGCAGACAGGAAAGTCCAAATATCGAATGACTTCATTTCGCGCACTCTTCAGACGTCTGTGTGTAACGTTCGTATTATTTTCAGTTTTTCTGAACAATGCTGTCGAGACTTGTGGGTCTACGGTGAACTATCGAACAAACGATTCTTTCAAAGTAAGTCTCGGACATTCGTCTTGATTCAACTGTTTATCAACCGATGAATTCATGGTAATCTCTTGTACACTTAGGTGTAAGTAAGACCAGATTCCTTGAATGCTGACTACGCTGCATTTTCTCAGTGTGTTTTCGCGTGCATTTCTTCCTCGCATAAATATCCTCCGTTCAAACGTATGAGGAACCGATGAACACCTGGAAATGACATATTGGGGAATTTGTAAACCCCACATTCCTTTTTTTTAATCAATCACAGTTACAGAGAACCATATCAACTGAGACATGAGGCGGCCTTTGTGCAGCACATTCATTTGAGAGGGAGAGAGTTTCATTTGAGTCTCTCTTCAACATTCAGTTTTCAAGTGAGTGTCGTTCGGCAACTGCGTACAATATGGTTTTCAAATAGAACAGAAACTTAGGGACTACACCCACCCGATGAGCCCCAAGGAGGATGAATCCGGCTATGGGCTGCCGAAGACTTTTTGACAACCTGATGAGCAGTGTGTTCCTCCAATGCTTCGTTTCAGTTTCAAAGCCTCTTGACTTTTAAATTATAGTGGCATTTTCCCTCTTCTTCAGAAACCACTGATGTTCTTCTAACTTGCAATAATAAATAATAATTGTTCCGCTGTAATACCCTTTCGGTGCCTAGCTGTCATGCCACCCGAAGGAAGCACGAGGGCTGAAATACTGCCAGGTCGCCCAAGCCTAGACAGGGGTAGTCGAGAGGCGAAGGTCGGGTTTGAACTATTAGTGCATAGGTGATGATATCCACATGCAAATCAGGTGTATGCACTAATAAGTCTTTACTGTGGTTGACAGTAGTTGGTTGCAACACGTATAAAAATAAATACAGTGCGAAGTGGGAGCGAGTAAAAAAAAAGGGGAACTTATCGTATGTGAAAGTCCCCTGGCGAAAGTCCGGATGGCGGGAACGTGTTTTCTCTGCAGTACGGCTGCTACACGTGTTCCATAGCTGTCCGTGGACATGGGAAGCGTGATTGACTTCCTTGCTCCCTGCGCGCGCGCGAGTCTGTGTCATGACTGGGTTCGGTTTCCCTTTAGGTAGGTCCCAGTGCATGCACGTGGGGGCGTCGGCACATGAGTTGTTGCTACGCTGACTAGGCGGTGCAAACAATCGATGTCCGATGGGTCAGCTTAATGTGACGTGCTTGTGAGTGTGAGAAAAAAGACATGCCTCGCGATCCAGTGAGCGACTGTGAGCTGGACAGTCAAGTATGTGGGTGACTGGGTGGCCACAGAACCACGAACCTTTCGGTCAGTAAATTTGCGATCTAACCACTGAGCCATTTCCAACTTTCTAACTTGTTCAGGCGATGGGTTCTTATTGCTTTTTGTAGCAGGGTCCTGAGTGGATTGTGTTTGGAAGCAAAAAGACGGAGACTGTAAGAATTTGGCTTGCGATAAACTGGTCGTTGTGACAAGGCATCAGAGTGCTATTTGCTAGTGCATCCAAAAAGACTTTTGACTCACCTTTAGATAACAAGTTGGCTTGGGTGAGTAGAGTTGACAACACCACACAAATGGCTAAAATATTTATTATTCGTTACCATAGAAATATCGTCACGATGGCATGTAGCATCCTATGCCTCAATATCTGTTTACCCAGCCTTTGCTTTGGTGTTACTTGACACTTAGACAACGCTCGGACAATTCAGCACCCCATTCGTTCAAAAGTAGTTTCTGTCGCAAGGTAAGTGTTTCCCGAACAAAGACGATATCGCTCGAGCATACTACATAGTCATGAACTGTTAGGCGGCGTATACATGCCACTAGGTTGTAGTTGGCACACCACTTCCATGCACCAGTCACTGCGCCGGGTGTACAGAGCAGTGTATTTTCGTCAGGATGATGCCAATTTTCTCCACGTTGTGACACAACATTAGGTTCTATGAAGCGACGACATATCACTCTGCCGTGTTTGCTTCACCGCCGTTTTTGTTGAAGTCGGTGATCCAAAAACCAACCCATTCATCGCTTCCTCTAATGGACTGGCGGATGAGACCTGTACTGTTTATATATATATA